GAAAAAACAACTTGAAAGAAGCTAAAACTGAAATGAATGAATTAATAATAAATTGAAAAAACTAATCCATTAAAATCAACTGCAAATCATAATCATTATAGTATAAACTAAAAACATCATAAACAGCAAAAGTAACAATTAAAAAGCACACATTTTCTACACCCCCTGATAGCAATCCTGGACTGGCTACAAGAAATAAAACGGCTGTGAAAGCTCACCTGGTGATAGTAATAACCACCCCCAGCACAGTGATAGCGGTCAGGATGTGCTGCACTGTCAGAACATCCTCGTCGTAGACTGTCAGTGCAATGAGCACAGCCAACACCGAGCCTGAGAAGAAGGCAATGTTCTGAGCCAGCACAGTCAGCAGTGGTGATGTAAAGGAGTTCATGTATTTGGAAGTGGGTTTGTAGCCACGGCCTAAACGTCCGTGCAGCTCATGGTCCAGCTCGTTGAAGTGTCGCAGGTATAAACGACCATACAGTGACCAGCGGCGAGCACCCAGGCTTCCAGGTTCTCTGCGGATCACTTCGGTGTAGCTGAAAAAAGCGTACAGCACCTGCCACACCAGGATGAAGGGACATAGCAGCAAGTTGGCCAAACCCATCAGCAGGATGACCCTACTGAGCTGCTGTGCCAGCTCCAGGCGGTTTCCATTCCGCTTGTACTTGGGGTGCAGGTTCCACTTATTCTGAAACAAAGAGCCAGGACCCCAGAAGAGGATGAGCTCAAAGTTGTACTTGAGGCCCTGGGTGAGGAACACCACATTGCCCAGCAGGGGGAGCTGCAGCTGCACTGGCAGTAGTGATTTGTTTATCATAGCCACCATGTAGTTCTTGAATCGCAGGATGCGGTGATAGATGTCAAGTTCTGTCAGCTCTTTCTTGTGTATGCACATTTGCTGTTCTCGTTGCAGGCTGATGAGCCGGTCCTGGACTTCCTGCCATGTGAAGTTGCATAGTTCATCCTGGTACAAGGAGGCAAGGAGCACAAAGTAAACGGACTAATACTACAGAGACAATGGATGACTCATCATTTTAGGGATGTTTTTTTTTATAAACATAAGCACAAAACAATTGCCACAACACTGATCTGGATGACCTTTTGCTGTATGTAATGATAAGTTCTCCAGGTAGAGCACTTACCATTCTGATCTTCAGGGCTTTGATGTAGAACTGCCTGATCTCCCAGTAGCTCAGGACATTGCAAAAGACTTTAACAAGTCGATAGATCCAGAAGATGGCTGCCATGATGAGAAGGAATATAATCCAGCTGTTCTCTTGGATTCTGAACGGAAAGAAAAAAGCTTTATTCAGACATGGCTGGCTTTATGTATCAATCAAAGTCATGGCTTTTTGTCATTCAGAGATGAGAAACTATGTAATTATTAGTCACAGCTGTATTAAAACATGGAAGGACATTTAGGGTTATGATATTAAAGAAAACAATGCTTATAAAAAACCTGACAAAGTGGTTAAGGGGGAGGCTAATTTGAAATCTGGGATTAAGAATTTCTGTAAAATGACCATAATGGGTATTCAGAGGCACGCATATTGTGTGTCTCCCCCATTGTGTTGTGTTGTCATCTGACTTCAAAACACCGGCTCCGTGTGAAGCACGAATTTATAAATGTTCAGATTATAAAACTATAAAACCCATATGACGCCCCCTCTCCTCTTATGACATTGTAAATGGACCCTTCGTTCAGGTTTTACCTCGTAACACGATCAACAGATGAGAAAATGAGCAACCGTTGCTCTCAGTGTATGTTGCAATCTATCGAACTGACACTTAACTCTTGTTTACAGGTTGTGGGGGAGGCAGCCTGCTTACTTTCTTCTAAAATTAAGGGAACAGTCAAGTGTCACGTGTCAAAACACAGTGCATACAACATACATTAGCCATTGTTGCTGCTCCTTTACATTTCTATACAACGTTATAGCGGGTCACTCTCAGATATAATGAACTAAATATTAGACGGGACAAGCATCTGGCTTTACAGGGGAAATCAGAGAAGGGTATGAGGACAGAGGGTCCAAACTGTGGCACAGGCTGTTCCCGAATTAGAATTCCAAGCGGTTGTACGTCATTGACTTTGATATAAATGACTATCGAGCCACAGTCAGAACCAGGAACAAATTGATGACAGGGCCATTACACTAGCTGAAGAAAACAAGCAGAGGCTAGGCTACATCTTGGAAAAAGGGGGGGGGGTATGTCCCTTGCAAGCAGCTAGTGAGGTGTCATGTGGTTGTCAGCTCGCTGGCCCGGCCAAGTTGTCAGTATTTCGACTTGCCAGTTTTACCTCGCCAGAGCTATCAATTACATTGCCCCGTTCCCCAAATCCAGTCTGAAAACAGTACACAAATACACTCCTCCAAGCATCAGCTGGAGGAGTGTTCCAATTTGAAGCTATCAGTCTCGAAGAGATAGAAATAACATTTCATAGAAAGAGAGGTCACTTGTACTTCAGAGGTCCAGTCTGTATAAAATGTAATAAATAATAAATTCATAAGGTATTTCAATCTGATTAAGCCTTATGCTTTTTGTTAGACCTGTTTTCTAGAATTTTTAATGCTGAGTCACAATCCGCTATTACCACTGGCAATAAGACTTTTCCCCAAACATGAATACTTTTAATTTGGCTTGAATTTGGTAGAAAAGGATAATACACAAATATATAACATTTGGGTCATACTTGGGATAAAGTTGCTTAGTTTGGGAAACGTTTGAGAATAAAAACAAGTAAAGGATACTCAGCTAGTAACCGAGTGCTCCTGGTCTCATACAATATGGACTAACTTGTGATACACCGTATATAATCACTACTTAGAGGGCTGACAGTTAATAAAAGAGCTGAAAGAGTCATTGCCCACCATCACAAATACAAGAACGTTCTCATGATTTTCCTCCGGTGTAAATAAAGAAACCCACGGGGTACAGCTAAATAGGCTACTGTTCCATATTCCGTCCCTGTGAATGTGGCTCTATCATGTCGTCTGAAGCCACATCTGACACAATCCAATAAGAAATTAAGTCTGAAAGTCTGATTGCAACTGTGTTAAGTCCGACAAATTAAATCCCTCTGAAGGCCTGTCTGTAAAAGGGCTCTAATAATACCCAAGACCATGTCTGCTTGTATCTGATCAAACGGGCTAGAGTCACTTTATGTAACAGCGTAGCCTTTTCGATTAATTCTCCTAGACTTTTTGTACGATACTGTGTTAAACACAATTACCTCTGAGTGCACTGCTGGCTGGGTAGGATGGCATCTGGAAGAGTGACCTTGCTCCTGTCCAAGGGGTTGTGGCCCGGTCCGGTATGGTTGACCGCTCGATTGGCAAACAGGACATCATACTCCACACAGTTGACAAGGAACGTCGTGAATGTTACAACAAACAAAAGCTGGCTGTTGGGATGAGATGAAGAATGAAAAAAAGATTAGGCGTCATACTTAATGACAGCAAAAACACAATAAAACCCTAAATAATGACAGTGACAAGGGATATAAACTGTAGTATTGAGATAAGTGATTATATTTATAAGCACCAAGCCACAGATAATGTGCATTAGTTCAGTTAAGACAGATCAATTGCAGTTCCTTTATTAAATATGTCGACAGGCTGAGATTTATCTATTTTTTGGCCTGTCATTATGTTGACACATTTTCTCCACCTAATGCTTTAACCATAAGTCTGTGGCCAGATTCAGACAAACACCAGACCAGCACCCAATAATAGAGGTGGCCAGCTGGCACTGTAGCAGCAAAACATTATCTCACACGACCGGAAAATAAACAATACGCTGCACTGGCAAACTATCCTGCTAATGTGATTAATTAAACAGAAGAAGCCATACAGGAGAGATACTTAATAAGTAATAATAACAATTATAATAATCGCGATAAAGTGAATAGTAAACAAAGCAATTATAATTGAGTTTGTGTTTATGAATTTCATGAGATTCAAGTACAGCTGCAGTTAAAATCCTCTGGTTGAACTTGTTCCCGCTGAGGCTCGAGGCACACTTAACTGTCATAACAAGATGAAAAACTGCCGGTGACATAAACGAGCCCTAACCCTTACTGAAAACAAGCCTCCTGTTACAAACACTTTACTATATTTCATGATGTATTCCAGGTATTTTGCACAATGTCATACTTACACAAGTTCAAAGAACTCTGTCAACATCATACAAGCGAAGCCATTCTTCTGGTGAAAATGATATATGTGGACAGGCTGGTTAAGGGAAATCTGAAATAAAATGAACTTGAAAACATGACTATATACTTGGACAGTCACTAAAGGGACTCTGATGAAGCACAAAGTTAAGCATGAATCCCCTCTGCCCACTGAACCCTGTAATAACAATGGAAAAGTGTGCGACAGTCAAGAAGTAAACATTGTGAAATTCAACGGATTCTAAATATGACTCCTGACATGCATCTTGGTGAGTCTGTGTGTGAGCATGACATGAAGCCAGTGAGGTTATGCAACAACAATACACTAACTGCACTGAAATATTAAAAGGATATCCTTGTGAAGAAGTTATCCAGGTTCTTGATATGGTGCCATGAGTCTGCAACATAAATGAAAACATTATACAGCGACAGACGTTTACCCAGTTGCATCTTCTTCTTTTTTTTAGCTTATATATCACGTAAAACACTTCCAATGTGCAGTTAGACGATTATAGCAAAATACAATGTATACTTTAGCTGTAGTAACACGTTTACCTTTCAGGCCTTCAGGCACATGCACCAGTAAATCCTCCTCCCCTGGCGGTGAGTCCTCCTCAAAGTCCTCAATCCTCTGATACTCCTGGTAAGCTTCAAAGTTGGCCATTGTGCTTCACATTCTCGAGGTCGCTCCCAACAGACGAGCTACTTGTAGTGAACACCGTGTGGAAGAAGAAAACGAACAAACCCCAATGCAGTCTCTCAACCTCAGTAATTACATTCTGCGAGCTCACAATCTCAGCAGCGGTTCAAATAAAGGGTAACGTTAGCAACGGCTAACGCTAGCCTGCTAAGTCCCTCGTCTAACGGACAGACGCTCGTGTAACGCTACACTACCATGGTAACGTGTTATATACTCGGTACAGCCGCTGACAATCAAGTACACCAATCTTTAACTAATGAATGCTAGTTCCCTCCCTGTGTAATGTTACGGCCGGACTGTTCTGGTGGCTGTGTTAGCCTGTGAATGATTCAGCCTCTAGTGTGGTCCGGGTGACACGGTTTGTTTTGTTCCCGACTTTGTCGGTCCATCTGCTGATCTAGCTCCTCTGTGGTGTTTGTCCCGACAGTCCGGTCCTAAACCCGAGCCAACGTTGAGTTTTAATCACGGTACGTTTGGTCTTCACGTCTGTCTCGAGGGTCCGTTAGCTGGTGTCCAAAAATACCCCCATCCTCCGTGTGTGTCCACTGTTTTTGTCTTTCACAAACAAATGTCAACAAAAACGACACTGACGTCACTTCTGTCACTGGCGCTCCGTCATTTCCGGGTCCCAGTTGTAGTTTTTTGAAGGAAAGCACGTTTTTTTGTCGTGTTTCTGTTGAACAGTGAGGCACAAACCGCCTCACCTTCGTCCTCCTGTGTCCTGTTATGAAATGAGCCAGCTGTCTGTTGTCGCAGCCCGATACTGACAGTACACATGACCTCCTCTGTAGTCACAGAAATGCACTCTGGGTCAGAGTCAACATGGCAGCCTGCAGGTTGCCTGTGGATTATTGCAGAGCTTAACGACTATTTGAATTGAATGAGCTTGTTATCACTGAAATAAGCATTAAACATGTTGCACTTCCTCTGCTGTAGAGCAAGCTTCACTGCTCCAGTGCGGTCATTGCCGTTGTACCCGCGATGCAATAACACTGCAGACTTATGGAAACTTTCACGGTAGGCTAATGTGACCGGTATTTAGTATAGTGAATGACAGCCGATCTGTATCTGCTACGCCATGTGTTAGTTAATCAACACTGACAAGCTTAGCCTACTTTGATTTTATATAAAGAGTAACTGGTTTCCTCTGGTGTTCAGATATAGATACAGTGGGATGCACTTGTGTGTGTACATGGGTTTCTAATCAGAAACAGGTTGACTCATGAATTAGTCAACAGAAAATTAATCAACAATTTTCATGCTTGTCAAGTTGTTTCTTCAGGTGTAAAAAAAACATCAGGCATTTAATGATTTTTTTGGTGATCAATTAATCGTTTCAGCTGCTCCAGCTTCTCATATCACATCCGTGTAAATGTAATAACTTTGGGTTTTGGGCTGAAGAAGCTATTTGAGACTGCCCATGACACACTCCCTTCCTTCCTACTGTGATTTCAATGTAAGATTGAGAGAGAGGATTTATTAATCATGATCAATTGAAAAAACAAAATAATCAGATTAATACTAGTTACAGCCCTAATTCAGATCAATCTAATCTGTTACAGCCTAAAATCCTCATCCTTTGTTACATTAACTTTGTAAGACTTTCATGATAAATTATTGAACTCCTAATTATAGTATTATTCTTCCTCATATCCAGGTGGTACACATCTCCAGGATGTAAAACAAACAGCTCCTCACAGCAGCCTGGAAACGCTGTCAGCCGTCTGTGGAGCCTCACTCAGAGAGCCGTCCGCCAGTCCACCGTCAGAACATCCAAACCCCCGGGAGTGGCTCTGAAGTTCATCCTGGGACCAGCAGTACTCACCGTCTCTGCGCGACTGTTTTGTCACGTAGCCCACTGCGAGGCAGATGTGAATAACAACATCCCGGTGGAAGCTGTAGCCAAAAACCCCGTGCCTGAGTTCAAATGGCATATCCTGTGGGAATTTGTCAAACCTCAGCTGTTTGCTCTCATTGGTGCTGTTGTGGTAAGCTTAAGAGTGTTTCTAGAATAAAATATTTAGGATAGTAACATGTCATTTATGCAACTAAAATGGGTTATTTTCTTCTCTCCCAGCTTGCTTTTGGCGCCGCTATCTTGAATATTCAAATCCCATTGATGCTTGGGGAGCTGGTAAATGTTGTGGCACGTCACCTGAGAGAACAGACTAGGAATTACGTCCAAGACATAAGAGACCCTGCACTGAAATTACTTGGGCTGTATGGTATCCAAGTAAGTACACAGAAAAATCTGCCAGCGCCTCGACTCGAGTACAATCAGCCATTGTTTTTCTGTTATCAAATGGAGATAAATGTCTAAACTATTTCCACAAGGTGTTGTGCTAATTACCATTTAAATTATGTAATTGTAATATAGGGGATAATAACTGGACATTTATTTATCTGTTAATTAACTGAGAATAAATGCAGTGGGTGGACGCTCTGGAATAACTATTATACCATATTTTTATTAAAACTATGTCAGAGAATTACGATACCATCACCTTTGAGGCGTAAGTGTGGTTGAATTGGATAACTGTGGTTCTTTTAATAATTCTGCCCGGTTTGCAGATCTCATTGTTTAAGAAAGTTAATATTTCTTAGAGCTATATCTGCATGTTTTGTTCCTGTGCTGGCCATTAATCAACCCCTCCTTCGTGCAGGGCCTGCTGACGAGCGGCTACATCATCCTGCTCTCGAGGGTGGGGGAGAGAGTGGCAGCAGACATGAGGAAGACCCTTTTCGCATCCTTACTGAGGTACATAATCGCTCAGTGTTAGAGCAAAAGAATGCATGGACAGGACAGGATGCTGTCATTTATATGCTCATGGTCCACTATTAAGCATCTGCAGTCCAACAAGCCCCTTTAACACTGTCAATGTTTTTCTTTTGTCACAGGCAAGATGTGGCTTTTTTTGATGCTAATAAAACTGGGCAGCTTGTGAATCGATTGACTGCTGACATTCAGGAGTTCAAATCATCCTTTAAATTGGTCATCTCTCAGGTATGAAGTGCTGTATTTGTGTTGTAATATAATAAGTAATAAAGCTATATAGTTTTAACTTTCTAATTCCTTTTTTTGTGCATATTTGCAGGGTCTGCGGAGTGTTACACAGACAGTTGGTTGTTTTGTCTCTCTCTATATCATCTCCCCAAAACTCACAGGTTTGACAGTAGTTGTCCTCCCATGTCTCGTGGGAGCGGGGGCTCTCATTGGCTCATTCCTCCGCAAACTGTCCCGTTTGTCTCAGGAACAGGTGATGCAGTGTTATCATTTTGCTCAGAATCTTTGCTACTGCACAATATCTTGTATACAGTTTGAGATTTACGGCCGTGTCACAAGGGGCTGCAAAATCAGAACAGCCATATTTCAAAACAAGCGAATGTGACAGATATACTCTTAACACAATGTAGATCTGTTCTCACGTCTGCCCATAAATGTTAAGATGCAATGTTTCTCTACTATTTCTTCTTGACGCCTGCTCTCATAATTCTTGTGGGCTGACATACAAATAGAAAGATATGTCGATGTCATTTACACTGTAAATAAGCAATAGCTAAAAGTGACAGAAATTTGTGTCCTCCAGGTTGCTGGTGGTTTTCAGAACCAGTCTTTGCACTGCTACTATGAAGCTTAATTATGTTATGCTTTTCAAACTGGTTTGCAGGAACCAGCTGGGGTCCTTGGGTGGATTGTAGGGAGGCCCCAGCAAAAGGAGGAATAGAATATTTAAACTTTTATCAAATTTATGAAGTTGGAACAAGGAAAGAAGAAAAGGAAGGCTGTGATTGATAATTGTAATTTATAATGATTCTAGTTTTAACATTGATTGCAGATGAAGACTTTTTTTTATCTTCAAACCTGAATATATATATTTTTTTTAAACCCAAGACAGGGGTTTTTCAAGACAAAATCCTCTCAAATTAGGGGTCCGTGGTTTAATGAACAGCTATTGTGGGACTCCATGATATGAATGAGTTTGGAACCCACGTGTTATTACAGTGCAAAACTCAAGATAGTCACAATCAGTGTCTTCTTACAGCGTGTACAATCTATGACACAATTAAATTGAAGTTTAATTTGCTGTCTGACATAACTGTGTTTCATTTAAGGTGGCAAAAGCGACAGGAGTGGCAGATGAGGCACTTGGCAATGTGCGGACAGTGAAAGCTTTTGCGATGGAGGAGCGTGAGCTCCAGTAAGTGAGAGTATATTTTGGTATACTCAGTGCCATAGTACCTGTAGAGACACAGTATACTGTATTTTAGAGATATAATGTTATTATGTGTTATGTTTTAATTTTCTAAATCTTTTTTTCTCCAGGTTATATGCATATGAAGTTGACAAATCATGTGAAATAAATGAAAATCTCGGTGCTGGAATAGCAGTTTTTCAAGGAATGTCAAACATTGCCCTGAACTGTGAGCATATTTTACTGTTAACTGATAAACACAATGTTAAGCAGATTGGTGCTGTATCTGACAATATCCAGTACCTTAATGTTTTTATGTTATGTGCTGTTAATACAGGCATTGTCCTAGGAACTATTTTTGCTGGAGGGACTTTAATTTCTAGAAGTGAAATGTCCCCTGGAGACCTCATGTCTTTCCTTGTTGCTTCCCAGACTGTTCAGAGGTAAAAGACACAAGTTGCTCCACAAAGTTTGCTCGTTGTTACCATTTACAGTTAAATGTATTAGTGTAAAAGTAGCTGAAGTTTAAGGTATAACTCCTACATTCTCTTTATGCTCAGATCATTGGCCAGTATCTCTATCCTTTTTGGACAGGTGAGTAAAAATTATGTGACACACATTATATGTACATTTGTAGAAATCTCAGTTACTTCAAAATCAAGCCAATTTCTATTATTTGCTACAGATGGTGAGAGGATTAAGCTCTGGGGCCCGAGTTTTTGAATACCTCGCTTTGAAGCCAACCATTCCACTGTCTGGAGGAGGACGCATCCCGTACCATTCTCTGACAGGAAGAGTGGATTTTATGGACATTTCATTCAGGTTAATTAAAAATAAAAATCGATTTCAATTCAATTTTTGGACATTAACTGAACATAAATATCAGATGATTCTGCGATTGATTTCCTCTTTGTATATTTATAGCTATCCAACAAGACCTGGCCATCAGATCTTGAAGAAGTTCAACTTAACGCTTCCACCTTCTAAAACTGTTGCCATTGTTGGAGAATCTGGAGGAGGTAATTTTTTAGTTTATGCTTGTAAATGTGCGACGTGTAAGCGGTGTGATTGCGAGCCTATAAATGATTGATGCAACACATTTTAGGAAAGTCCACTGTGGCGTCCTTGCTGGAGCGTTTCTATGACCCCATCAGTGGTGTAATCATGCTGGACGGACTTGACATCCGAACACTTGATCTGGCCTGGTTCAGGGGACAAGTCATTGGATTTATCAATCAAGTAAGTATTGTTCATCATTAATGCATTCCACTTTTTTAAAATAGGGTTATAAATAATTTGTCAGTTTAATAAAACTTTTAATTATAAACTTCAATGGCTGTTCCAGTTTTCACAGTATCTCCCACCCTGTGTTTTTGCAGGAGCCAGTTTTGTTCGGATCATCTGTCATGGAGAACATCCGCTTTGGGAAGCCTGAGGCCACAGATGCTGAGGTCATTAATGCAGCCAAGCAAGCCAATGCTCACCGCTTCATTACAGGTTTCCCGGACGGCTACAACACTGTGGTTGGTATGTGCTCTCGTTTAGGTATTTAAATATTAAAATTTGCGTTCCATTTACGTACTAAGCCCCAGATTTTTGAACCCAGGTGAGCGAGGTGTGACGTTATCTGGTGGCCAGAAACAGCGCATCGCCATTGCTCGCGCCTTGATCAAGAACCCTAGCATCTTGGTGCTAGATGAAGCCACCAGCGCCTTGGATGCTGAATCAGAGCGAGTGGTGCAGGAGGCTCTGGACAGGGCCACAAAGGGTCGCACTGTGCTTATCATCGCCCACCGGCTGAGCACCATTCAAGGGGCCGACCTCATCTGCGTCATGAGCAATGGCCGCATCGTGGAGGTGAGTATTCAGAAAAATGGAAGTGCTCTTATCTCCTCCTAAAAGTCTCTGCTAATTTAATCAGACTGTCTTGTAAGTTCAAAGAGACACTGAACAGAATTGACTTCATACAGGTAAATTGGTTCCTTCCATCTCAAAGTACTGTCTGTGTAATATAAGTTTTAAATATATCTAACAGCTTCGTCTTTTCTTTTAAGGCTGGGACTCACTTGGAGCTGCTGAGCAAAGGAGGACTTTATTCTGATCTGATCCGCAGGCAAAGAGCTGAGGGGAAGAAATGAACACAAAACATGTTTATGTAGATCTACAATGAGACTGCGATGAGTAATGGGATTTCTTTTAAATGAATTTTACAGGAAAGGTTTGCCTGAACAGATAAACTATGTAAAACATGTAGTGTAAATTTACTAAATCCCTCCTCGTCTAGTTTTATGACAAACTCAAATTTATGTATGGAAATGTATAAGTGGACCAACTGGATCAGCCTGTGATGAATAACAAACCACACTACTGTACAGTAATCTACCTAAATGGGAATTTCATAACACTGTTTTCTCTTTATCTTGTATAGAATGATAAATTATAATGTGGTAGAAAAAATTATTAAACTTTGTTTCAATGAGAGTGCTGGTATACTTTATTTTTTCCTTTTTTTATGCGTCACAATAGAAAGAATTTCCGTCTTCCATTGTCACAAATAAAAGGTTGAAGAAACTAAACGCTGAACCTAAATAAGGAGCAGTATATGTTTTATGGATAGTGTCTTTTCTTGTATTGATCCTACAGTTAAAACCCTGTAGTTTACTAGTGGATAAAAAAAAAAGCTGAAATGTAATTTACTTTCTGTGCTTCAGTTGCTCCCCACAATCATCCATTCTGTTTAGATGTGACACCTAGGGAGGAACTGCTGTTTTGGCACCATTATAACCTCCCATATACAGGTGACAGCTGTTAACAGTGTATTAAAGCTGGTGCCTACCTCTGGATATACAGTAATCTATTGTGACACAACTGCTGGAAACTACAAACTCTTTACAATCACCTTTCAACCATACAGAAGCTTAAAAAATAGGTGGTGTAGTATAACTTTAATGTCCCTTTTTGATATTTGTTAATTTATCTGAGTGCTGACATAAAGTCACTGGTGAATCTTCCTGCCATTACTATTTATTAATTGTATAATGGGCTCATTTGCTAAATGGAACATGTAAAAATCTAAGATTGGAAATAATGTTTCATCATCACGTCATTAACGAGGCCGATTAGGCTGCCTGTACAAGATAAATCAAAGTACACTAACATACAACCTGACAGCTTCCTGGAAGAATCCATTTGCAGTTTGAGATTAGATTACGAATGACCAATTTAATCAATAGAAACACAGTAAAGATGGTACTTTTCAGATATCATATATCCTACAGTAAGTATACACATCCTTCACATCAGTTATCTTTGACTAAAGCAGGTGGGTCAAGTTGAAGAGTGATCAGTGTTTAGAATCAGAATCAGAGTCAGAATTTTGTTTATTGCCAAGTAGGTTTTTACGCCTACGAGGAATGTGACCTGGTGCATTGGGGCTGCTGGGCATAAAGAGTATACACATATACAAATACAGAATATACAAATATACAATTACTTTCAAAATATAAATAGAGAAAGATAAGAAAGATAAGAAGATAAAGCTGTGCAGAAGACGTGGGTAATGCATACTTTACCATTTACCATTTGTACACAGTGCTTGATGACCAAACCCTCTCATAAAATGTCTTCCAAGAACAGAAAACTGCTTGTGCTGCTTATATGTTTCTGCATCTAGCCAGGCTTTGGTTTCAAGGGTGCTGTAGTTCATCTTTTGGCCCCTAGATGACCAACAAGAGGAGCTTTGCTGCAGAGCGACCAGGAGCACCAAGTGCAGATAGCTTTGAGCTAACGCTAGCAATCATAACACCATTAACCCCCATTTGGGGCTTTAATCAGTCATTGGTTTGATAGCTAGTTCAAGGCTGGCTTCACTGGCCAAACATGCAGAAATATGAAAAGCTTGAAAAAATCGGAGAGGGTAAGTTTCACACGCTTTTTTAAAATAAAGTTAATATTAGCTACCCTGGTTTGCTAAAGTAGCATTCATGTAGTTGCAGTGCTAGCTAACGTTATCTAGACTGAGCTCGGTGTCTGTTAAACAGCGTTAATCCCACAGATAACCAGGTACAAAGCTGTGTTCACGCTTTTTACTTCCACTGGTAGGTTAAGTGCTGTGACAAGATCTGTCAGACGAGTCCTGATATTAACGCTAGCTAATGTTAGCATCTCTGTCCGTTGCCATTCATCAACACGATCACTGTGGTTGTAGGTACGTATGGGACAGTCTTCAAGGCTAAAAACAGAGAAACCCACGAAATTGTGGCCTTGAAGAGGGTCCGGCTGGACGACGACGACGAGGTTTGTTTTTTAACATTACTAATATAACATTTCATCACTTATATTTATAGTATTTAGCATTAGCTAGTGCTAACCAAGCTGGGTGTCATTTCTTTCAGGGGGTGCCAAGTTCTGCTCTGAGAGAAATCTGTCTTCTGAAGGAACTAAAGCATAAAAACATTGTCAGGTCAGTCTGCTGCCCAAACTGGATTTAACCTGTGTGTGGGGACGAGGTTTGTCAGATGAATTGAAATACCAAAAGCAGTTTGCATTTAACCCTGATGGTAACTTAAAGCTGTTCTGTCTTCTGCAGACTACATGATGTTTTGCACAGTGACAAGAAGTTAACCTTGGTTTTTGAATATTGTGATCAGGTGAGATCGAGTCATCCCAAACCTGCTGTGTGTTTTAATGTGTAGCTCCCAAGGCTAATGTGTGTCTCTTATCAACTTAAAGGATTTGAAGAAGTATTTTGACAGCTGCAATGGGGATTTAGATCCTGAAACTGTGAAGGTGAGAGATAAACATCTTGGATTTTACTCAGGACAGCCTACCGGATTTAATACATACTGTATAGATGGCTTGTTTTTTTTGATCGTTATGTCTGTAAACTCACACTTTCTCTCTCCGACGCAGTCATTCATGTACCAGCTGTTGAAAGGCCTCGCTTTCTGTCACAGTCGAAACGTTCTTCATAGAGATCTGAAGCCACAGAACCTCCTCATTAACAGAGTGAGTGTTTAAGTGCATTTGGATTTTGACTTGAAGCCTGGTAAATATACGTTACTGTATGAGATGACGGCTAAACCTGATGCCACGTGGAGGATGTAGTTTATTAGTCTGTGGTAATATCAAATGGGAAGTTTTGGTAACCTGTGTCTGTGTCTACAGAATGGAGAGTTGAAGCTGGCTGACTTCGGTTTGGCTCGAGCCTTTGGCATTCCTGTGAGGTGTTACTCAGCAGAGGTAGGTTGTACTTCATTAACACAGCAGGTGCTAATAACTGACTTCTTCCATCTTTTAAAATGTTTAACCTGGGTGACATTCGCATTGATTTCTGGCACCTTCAAAGAGAAACCAATTCGGAGACTGATATCTGAACACTTTGATTGCCTTTGAGGGATTTTAAATTGGCTAGGCAGAGACATTTCTGCTCTTTAATCCGGACTTTTATAGAAGTTGCTTTACGTCTGTGTAGCCAAGGTAAATAGTCCCAAATCTCTGCTAAAAAATATATTTTCCTAGTTTTAAAATCAAACAATATCTCATCAGCTTTCAGGCTTTGTTTTAGGGCTGGAAGATATGACCTAAAAATCCATATCTCAGTATAAAGTAATCAAATGTGAGTAGTAAGATAGAAACTGGAACAACAAGGGCAAACGCATGGCCTCTACCACAATGTTCCCATGTTTTTTAGGCTGTTAAATTGCCCTTATTATATGTGTGAACAGTCGATAGACTGTGTTTCTCTGAGGCCCTGAAGTTAAGCTGTTAAATCAATGATGGGCGAGAGTGGAACACACAGCAGCATGTGGTTTAAGTGGTATTTTCTTTTTTTTTTTTGCTTTCTGATTCCTTCAGAGAAATGACAGGCGAGTCTCAGATAGGTTTAATGGTTTTTGGTTGGCTGACCTAAGGGCCCGGGGGGGCCAATCTCAAGAGGCGGCACTTGACCCAGGGTGATGCTACTGATCTGAAAATGTAATAAACAGAAAACCTAGTGGGCAACCGAGTTTGAAGCCTTGAGAATTTGTAGTAAGGTCATTGTAAAAGGTCATTTCATTTCCGAGGATGTATTACCCTGAGACTCTTAGCACTGTTTCACAGTGTGTCACAGTACACAGATATACTGCATGTAGTATATGTAGTACATGCAGCTTGAATTAAATACTGTACCTTTAGTTGTTATGATGATAGTATGGGGATTTGGTTTAATTTATTAGCAAGTAAAATCCACAGTGGAGTCCATCAGTGTTCTTACTTTTTCTTAGGCTTTGTAAAAACTACTTATCTGGCAACCCAAAGTTAAAGTGAAGCAGTAACAGAAGTATTATTCACGTGCAAGTTAGTTCCCTGCACTTATTTTGAAATTCTACTCCATAAAACCATTTGTCCACATGAATAGAAAATCTCCCACAACCTGCAGCTGTGTTTCAAACACAGTGCTCCAGGATGTGTTACAAAGCCTTAAAAAGACATTAGAAAATGCTCAGTTTATGTCATCTTTGTGCGTCATTTAAAAAAAAATATATATATATTGTAAATGAAAAAATAATACACTGCAAACTGTCGTGACTCAGTATGTGACGTTTTGAAATTACCTTCGAATCGAGCTTCGCTGTAAAAATGACTTATGAAAAGTTAGTCGTGATTCTGTAGCAGGTGGTCACACAACAAACATCTGCACTGAATTGAACTTTCAAACCTTTGAAGCTGAAACAAGCACTTCCAACTGCTTTCAGTCAGCCCACACATTCACTCTCTGCGAAATAGAACTTTTCTATAGTTTTTCAGTTTATTCTTCTTACTCTGTTCTATCAGTGCACTTCACCAAACGCATTTTCACATAACCTGGAAAAATGTCTATAAAACACTCGACACTTGACAAAGCAGCAGTTTGTTAGAATGTCAGGAAGCTGTAATGGGAACCAGATGGCTGATGTAAGCTGACTGTTTAGTGTTAGTGACAGTGCTGCCAAATCCCTTTCTTTGTAAAAAAAAAAAAAATACCCATCAGTCTCAGTACAAAATAACACCCGCCCCGGAGAGTGACCATTATGCTGAATGCCTGAACAGTTGTGGTGACACCAGTTTGGCTGTGATAATTGGTCTAATTGTTAAACATAACCCTGTGATTTGTATGTAGGTGGTGACATTGTGGTACCGGCCTCCAGATGTGCTGTTTGGTGCTAAACTTTATTCTACCTCAATTGACATGTGGTCTGCTGGATGCATATTTGCAGGTTTGTGTGTGATTTGATGTAATCACATTGTTTGAGATTGTTCTGGTACTTAATGTGACTATAGGATACTGTTGACACTAATCATAAGAAATTTAGTAGAAGGCGTTTGAAGTCACTACAGTGGTTAAACATTGCTCACGAGGTTCAGTATCTTGCAAGTCATCTTTACAAATGTCTGAATACCCCCACACCTGGCTATTTACTGGAGTTTGAGTGTAGTAACAACATAGGTATAAACTATACTACACATATTAAAAATCAAATATATGG